GATGATTGCTACTTTTTAACCTAGAAAACCTATACTGGTCATGGTTAAAATGGAAAGAATTTTGTTTGGTTTAAACGAAAGAAGGGGAAAAAAAGTGGAAAACAGCATGTATAAAAGATTTTTACCTTTTCCTCTTATCTGACGAGAACGAGATTTTTCCGACCTCGGGATCGAATAATTTCCGAGCTTCCCCATGTAAATTTATGCACCCAATATCAAGTGAAAAGGCAAAAGCCCGTTCAATCAAACATTACGAGCCAAGAAGAAGTGCACAATCACCTTCCAGAACGGATGGTCAATCCCCGGCACAATCTTGGGAACTAAAAACGGTTTTATTTTCAAAAAGTGCATTTATTTTCACACTTGCATGTTACATTGCAGGTGATAACAGCAGTACATGCAATGAATCGTTTCAACTAGCACGGCCCAATTTTCCAGAAGTGATCAGTCTATTTAACCATACCATAAAGTGACTGAAACAAAAATTCTTCAAAATAATAAGAAAAAGGATGAACTCAAACAAAGCTAAATGTCTCCAGATTGAGCATTGATCTGGCACCTGGGGAGCAAATTTCCAAATTCACCTGCGAAGGCGTGGTAAGCATTATTAGAAGCGTGGGTTGATTCCAGGTTTGTTTTTCTGGGACTACAGGCACGCAACTTTCATTTTTACTTTATCAAAAAGCCTGCTTGAAGGCACCTTTAACTATATTTTCTTGTTGGATTTGGTTATTCTTTATACATATGAGAAGGAGGCAAAGGAAGCGCAAAAAATTTACCAGAAGCCTGCTCATCTTGAACTGGATTTGTTAAGCATCAGTGCCTGAAAGAAAACATGTTAGCATGGTCAAGGACTTTAGGCTGGAACAAAGCTATTACGAAATGATCCACTTAATTTCTCGTCTTCTTTTCTCATGTATAGAGTCATTTGGGTCAGTTCATAACTTGTAATAGAAGAGGACAGTGCCCCAGTTCTCTGAATCAGTAGCACCCATTTTAGACTAGTTGCAGAAATAGTTTCTTTTGTTTCAAATATATAAATATATATTAAAAGTGCGCATGCAAGAAGGTTGTAGACAAATCTAGTAAATCCATGACAACACAAGAATTTGGCACAGACAAGCATCAACAAAGTATTGCTTCCCGAGTTCTAAAATGAAAGAGTTTGGATTCAGATATGTATGGCAACTGACATATTTTCTGAAGTATTTTCTTGGCACCACTTTTTTTTTATCAGTGTTTTTCATAATTTTATTATCTTCATTCCAGAATTACATTAAAAAAAAAACCCAGAAACAATAAACTTAATGTCTTTTTAACAGGGAAAAAACATTTTTAACCATGC